CTGACTATATGTCGGCTTTTACTTAACTGCTATATCCAAAGTACAATTTAACTACTAAATTTAAATTATCAGTTAACTCGGTTTCAGACCATTTGAAATTCTAACAGGTAACAATTTAGATTCCCCGAAGTTACCACAGCAGATAGACCAATGTGGCTTTGCTCTAAAACAAACAATTCCTTGTTCAATCTTGGGTGTAACAGATCTGGATAGGGGTCCGAGTTTTTTTAACCGTAATCATTCCCAATGCTAGGAAGAAGTGAAATAACATATAAATAAATTTTATTATGTTTTTTTTCTACTTCGTTTTGGTAATCTACTAATATAAAAGATACATGTTTTAATTTAACTAGACTTCAAATTAATAATCAGCTTTGTAATGATTGTGAAAAATAAATAAAACATTATTTGGTTATTACCCATTGCTCTGTTTTTAAAATCAACGAGCAAAGTATCCCACAAAAATAATAAAAACATGAATGTAACATTTAAATGTAAGCAGACAGTTATATCAAGAAGACAAACAAACAATGTACAATTTAGATTACGTAAACGAAGACTTAGAGACATCCGATTTTTTTAATGTAAGAAACAAATTTGTTTCAATAAATATTATTATATCTTCAGTGTGGTAAACGTACTTTCGATATAACTGAAATTATTTTACTATAATTCTAAGTTTACCTGTGATTCAAGTAAAGTTGTAAACGCATCATCTTGTTTGTAATGAAATAAATCTGAGCGGAACTGAAAATTTACGCTTATGAGTCAAATTCAATGAACATCATGTGATGAATCCACACAGATGTCAATACATCATTAGTAAGTATAAAAAAGTAATCATATAATTACAAATGAATTTTTTTAGTCTTCTCGGGTTTCGATACTCGTGGTGGGCACTATACAGATAGTCCATTGTGTAACTTTGTGCTCAATAACAAACAATTTTTTATCTTTTTTTTAGCTTTGTGATGAAAAATAAATATGTTTTGAAAATTATAGCTTCCATAAATAGAATATAATTTCCCAGAAAGAGCGCCTGAAGGGGTCACTTGTTTTAACCAGTCGCGCCACTATACAGTAGTGTACTGTCTGTCTGTCAGTCAATAGACACTTAAAGGAACGTTTAACGTTGCAATTTGTACAGTTGTGACATCAGTAAAACGTAAGTATGCCATGAATCACAAGAAGAATTATGCACTCTGTACACTACAACAGAGCATGACATATGAACTTCGAACTCAAGAAATAAAAATATTTGTTGCTCATAATTTTGGTTTTTATTTACTCTTGAAACAGAACACTGTCGGGAACCCTGCGGAAGTACATCTAGTTTTATAAATTACGTAAGATATCTGTTTTATTCAACACGGGTTGAATAACATGCAGTTGCGATTTTAACTACATACATGTTTTTATCTTTTTCTATTTTAGAATCTTAGTTCAATTTTATATATTTAGTTTTATTCAACAATTACTTCTGAGGTGTAACCGGTGAAACTATTGTTACGACAGCGGGGGTCCCGTGACGCTCGGACCAAGGC